CACATCATCTAATTTCATTTTCTATTTTTATTTTTTTATTGTCTTATACCACCAGAATATGAGTGTACTGCCTCTGTCTAATTCACCCATTTTCCCCAGTACCTAAGCCAGAGATGTGTAATAAATATTGGTTGAATGAATAAAAATGTGTTCAAAGTACCCAGACTTGTGGGGCATGAGATAATGTAACTACTTAAATGGTCTTATTGACAGTAGTGCAGCCCCTTAATGAGACTTTTAAAAATAGGTCATCACCTTCTCAGGCAGCCTGGTCACAGAGAGCTGTCCATAGCCCTGTCAGTGGGGAAAAGTGAGTTATTTAGTCTTGGCATTTTCATTTTTTTATCCACCCCATTACCTAAATCAGAAACTCAGTAGTCACACTGTACCCTTCTCTTTCTCCTACTCCTACCTCAATTAATCAGTAAGTTTCACCAACTTCCCCTCCTATGGAGGACATGCCCAACATCTCAGTCACTGTGTTTTCACAGAATCATTCCAGTTTTTTTCAGAAAACAACCTTTCCCCATTCCAATGGCCTTTCAGAAAACTGCTACTAGATATGAAGACCCAAAGCTATACCAAGTGGGCATTTCCTTTGAGCATTTTGAATGTACAAGAATAATGCGATGATAATGATGATGATAATGAAGGAAAAGGCTGGAGATCATGTGTTTCCATAGTATCACCTAAGAGAACCTGGGCAATTCCTGCCACCAAGATCCTGACTGACTGCCTAATTCCTGTCTGTTCCAATTCTGCCTCTTCAGGTGCACCCTCAGTCCTGTGAGTTCCCATCAATACTGTTAATACATTCTTTGGTTTAGTTGTTATACAGAGTTGGTTTCTGTTGCTTGCAATCTGGGAACCCTGAGAATTCTCCTAAATGTTTGCCCAACCCATCTCTTCTGCTCCACACACCCACATGGCCTCAGCACTAGCCACCAATCCATTCTGCACAAGGTCCCCCTAGGCTAGCTGCCTTCTGTCTCTGCTTACCTAAAACTCAGATATGACCATGCTGCCCACCCCCTAACAGAGAAATGCTGAGCCCCTGGTCCTGACCAAAGACCTCCATCTATCATTCCAGCCTCTTCTCTTGTCACTGCCGCTTCAACCTTAAAGCTCCAGGAACTCCAAGCTACCAGCTGCTTCCCCATATTTTCTATGTTTTCTTAGCTCTCGCCCTGGACCCACCCTGCTTCCTCTGCACTGGAATACCCGTTTAAGGCTGACCATGTCACCCTCTCAGCTCAGCTCAGACATCACTTCCATCCTAGGCTAGCTGCCTTCTGTCTCTGCTCACAAATATGTGCCACTAATACATGGTCTGCCTTCCCCACTCATCTGTGAATTTTTTGATGACAGGTGCTGTGTCATATTTATCTCAATATCCATACCACATAATAGGCACTGAATACATGTTTGTTCAATGATATATTAACCAATCATTTGTTCGATGATTTTGTTTAAATGATTAAAATCGTAATTCACTTTGAAAATTGCAGGTTGGGTGCAACAATTGTGTTTTCGTTTTCTTCCTTTCTAACCACATTCAGAATTACTCTCAAACTGAGCAACTGAGAGATCTGTCTAAGCTCTGCCCACCTTGAAGACAGTTTCATTGCTTGAGAGCCAGGACGCACAGTTTTAACAAGCATCAGAGGTTGTTGCTCATTGCGCTGCCTAATGGTTCTCCATCATGAAAGGACGTTTCAGACACTCTGACTACATTCATTTAAGCCTCAAGTGAAGGGCAAAGATGCCACCCATCCAATACTAATGTAAGCCCAGAGAGGGAACATGCAAAGAAAAAGAAGCAATAGCCTATAATCAAACCAAATCTGAACTTGAACCTCACGTGGCTGGAGCACGGGCACCCCTGGAAGGCAGGGCCTCCTCCCCTGACCCACTGCCCAAAGTCCAGCTCCTCCCCTGCCTGAGCTTCCTCACCAGGAATGAGAAATGAGACCCTGATCTAGACTCGCTCAGCAAACACAGACAGGGCACTCACTATGGGCTGACCCTAAACGAGGCACCAAAGGTCAAAGGTTACTAAAATACTCTTCAGATCATAAGCAGCAGTGTATAAAGAGCCCAGGACTTAGAATCTGAAAGCCCAACCTTTGAGAATCAAACCATAACCCTGCCTCTTACTCACAAGCTACGCAGCCCCAGGAAAGTTATTTAGCATCAGTTTCCAAATATGAAAAATGGGGATTATGTGAGCTCACATGCATGAAAGTGTCTTGCACCAAGTAGGGGCTCAGAAATCTGAATTGAGAAGGTCTTCAAAGACCTTAAATGTCCAGAGTTCTATCAGAGCCACAAGACTTCCTGTCACTATAAGAACTAGCGCCCCCATCTGCCACCCAAGAGTACTGCATGGGCTGTCTGGTGGACTGCTGGGCTGCCAAAGCCTGGACTGCAGGCTTAAGAATCAGTGCACAGAAAAATCTCTCTCTGGCTAGTGACCTAGGAGCACACTGTTCACTTGCTATGGAAAAGAAATTTCTAGATTGGAGCCTAACACTCCCCAATATTAAGCACTGATCAGAGGCCTCCCACCGTGGAGATAAATGTTTAAGTCAACCAAGCGGCTGTCACACACACACACCCTCATTCCATCCCAATCTGCACCACCCCTTAGAGAGGAAAGGGGGTGGTGTGTCTTCATCAAGTCATGCCCATCATCTTCTCCACAGGATCAGCTGAATTAAGTTATTTTCTTTCTAAAAAGCCCTTATCCTGCACCCTCACTGCAGGCCTGATTACTGGCAATAGTTACACTCCGAGTTCAGAGAAAGGTGATCATTCTAAGAGGATTTAGCACTCCTCCAATAAAATAGCCTAGGGATTGGGTTTCCTACGAGTTTTGTTTTCATTACTCCACTTGGATATATCCAGTAACCAAATTCAGTGTCGTAGACCAGCTTCTCAGTAAACACTGCTGTTCTTCAGGCAGCTGTGCCATGAAAAACTCACAGATCTGCAGTGAACTCAGAAAGGAGGGCCACGCTGCTGGGCTTCCAGCAGAGCAGGCCACAGGGAGAATGCAGCCCAGGGGCATCCATGGGCATTTATAGGGGCCACCACCAACGGCCTAAGGGAGTAGCAAAGGCATGTGCTCCTGGAGCTCAGGAATGAATCAGGAACTGGGTGTCACAGCGGAGCTGCAAGCTCTGGGGGGAGGGAGGTCTCAGTTGCCATCTAGGCTCCTGGAGCCCAGGAATGAATCAGGAACTGGGTGTCACAGCAGAGCTGCAAGCTCTGGGGGGAGGGAGGTCTCAGTTGCCATCTAGGCTCCTGGAGCCCAGGAATGAATCAGGAACTGGGTGTCACAGCAGAGCTGCAAGCTCTGGGGGGAGGGAGGTCTCAGCTGCCATCTAGGCTCAGTCAAAGCCTGAGATAAATAAGTAGCAAACAAAACTGGGACTCCACCAACACTTCCTTCCACCCCACAAAGATGAAATTAAAACCATCAACAAGCCAAGGAGGAGAGCTGGAGTCCAGCTTTGATAAAAAATTTAAAATTTTTTTTAAAAAAAACAACCTGTCCTGCTCTTGCCTCAAGATAATTTCACACCAAATGGATTTAAACCCTTTCCAAAGCTCTGATGCTTGAACTGAAAAAAGAGTTTCTCTTTTGGACTAAAAGTCAGCCGTTAAAGAAGCAGAACATGGAAATCCTAAGCGTTATGAGTGTTCCCATTTGCACAAGTGCTGGGTGTGTCTGGACATACAGAGGGCAGATAGGTATCCATTCTTCTAGAGAAGGTCACCTCGCCTCTACGGCGAGGCTGCTCTTGTTCACTCTAGAATGTAGTTACTATTAATACTAACCAGACTTCAGGACCCAGCACAGCCACACACAGCCAACACTGAGCCGCTTTCCTCCGAGCCCAAGAAAGTCTCCTTTTCTGCAGAAAAACAGGCTCAGGGGGTGAGGATGGCGCCCCAGCCTTGGCACCCAAGGAACTGCAGTCACCGTTTCACCTGGGCTAAGGGCTTCAAACCAATGGCAAGGAAGGTGCCTTCCTCACACACTCCTCCCCAAGTCAAAAAGAGCAGTGGGAAACGCTGCCGCCGGCGGGGCCAGAGGGCGCACGTGGCCGGCGTCTAGGAGGCGAAACGCACTCCCGGGCGCACCCTCCGCACGGCCACCCGGTCGCCCGGAGACGTGCCCCCGCTCGCCTGGGCCCCCCAGCCCGGCCCCAGAACTACCTGCTGCTGCCTCGGCGCCCTCAGGCCAAGTCTGAGGAAGTTCACTCCCTGCGGCGCCTGTCCGGGGAGACTGGAACCGGCGTTTCAACCCAAACTACCCCGAGAGCCGGAGCCCGCCGCTACCCAGGCGCCGGACCCACGAAGCTGCGTGGGGCCCAGGGGCCAGCTGAGCAGCAGCCAGGTCCCCGTGCGGGCGGCCAGAGGCCTCCCGGGTTATCCCGCGCTCCGCAGGGCCCCGGACCCCTATCGGGGGGCGGCGAGGAGCGCGCGCCCGGGAAGGCAGGCGAGCAGCCCGCGCCGGGGCTGGAGGTGGAGGGAACCCTCCCCCGCCTCCCGCCTCCCCTCTCCCCTGATCTCCATGACTCCCGGCTTCCCGAAGACCTGGAAGCCGCGTTGCCCTCCCACCTGGGCTGCGGTGCGGCTTCCCTGCCCTCCCTTCCCTTCCCACCGCCCAGGCGCCCAGCTCTCAACCTACAGTTGGCACAGTTCCGGGACACCCGAGTGGGACACCCACGGCCCTTGCCCGGCCCCACGCCCCCGGGCGGGCGTCCAGGAGCCACCTCAAGGGAGAGCAAGGTGGCTCAGGCGAGCTGGGATGCCCTCCGGCCGGGCCAACAGGTATGGAGGCATTGTCGGCCGCCCGCCAGCCCGCCCACTCCGGGGAAGGGGCCCGCGACAGCTCGGGCTTTGGGCGCCGTGGAGAGAGAGGGGCGAGAGCGCAGGGGAAAGGCAAGGGCGGGAGACGGGGAGAGGGGGCGAGCGCGGGGTGTACTCACCTCTCGCAGGGCCGGGGCGGCGGCGCGAGCCCGCAGCCCCGAAGCCGGGTTTCCGAGGCGCCGAGGCGCGGCGCT